TTCAAAACTACCCTAAATAATCACTGAACTTTGTTAAAACTTCCTAGGAGGTCACCGAACTTTGCAAATTGTGACCCCATACATCAATGATTTAGTGACCCCCTAGGAATTTTTTGCAAAGTTGAGTGACTAATTAAGGGAGTTTTGGAAAAGTTCAGTGATTATTTAGGGTAGTTTCGAAGTTTAGTGACCTCTTAGGAACTTTTTGTGAAGTTCAGTGACTAATTAGGGAAATTTTGAAATTTAGTGACCTCCTAAGAACTTTTAACAAAGTTTAGTGACTATTTAGAGTGTTAACCCTTTTTTACCACACATTCTCCCATCAATCACTATTCTAAAATTTCTATTCTCATTAAAATGATATCATTGATTTTAATTGATATCATTCGATGTAGTATGAAATCGAATGAGACTGATCATTGATTTTAATTGATATCAATTAAAATGATATCATTGATTTTAATTGATATCATTCGATGTGGTATGCATAAGAAATGATATCATTGATTTTAATTTCTATTATTATGCATAATGATCATTGATTTTAATTGATATCATTCGATGTGGTATGCATAAGAAATCTTGCCATTGATTTGAATGAGAATTTTTAAAATCAATGATCATTATGCCTACCACATCGAATGATATCAATTAAACTGTCAAACTTGATGTACATTTGTACACCATATATTTCTTTATAGCTTTACTTGGTACTTGAGCATGACATCCATTTTTTTCTCATTCTATTTCTCTTTCTTCATTTCAACCACACATTCTATTAATAAAATAATATTACACATAAACTCAAAAAAATTTCTTATTTTTTAACCACACAATTCCAAAAATTATTTTTCATACAAAATGGGTGTCAAACAGGGGCATAAACATAATAGAGCTACTAATAAGTAAATTTAGCCATTCGGTTTAATTTTAAAAAAAGTTGATAAAAATTTAAGTGAAAATCAATAATTAATTTTAATCATACATTTAATGAGATCCACAACTTTTATCAACTTTCAATCATATATTTTTTTCATTTTTTATCAAAATTTATTTAAAAAAATTGATTTTTAGCAAACTAAACATGGACTATAATAGAAAAATAGTTTAAGTTGAAGAAAAGTGAATTACTTATTTTATACTTTATAGACTTCTTTAAAAATAGTTTAAGATAAAAATAATAAAAAGAAGTTGATTATTCAAACATGTTTGAACTCGCTTGCATGTAACTCCCATAGATATATTGCTAACATGAAACACAACACAAGCCATCATCTGCTTCGTTCTATTCAGGATTTTTTTAATGTTTGTTACTTCCTTTGCTTCGATTTTTTTTTTTTTCTATTTTCTATTATATACTTTGAAATAAAATAAATATATTATATGAAAAAGGTTTGAAGCCTTTAAAGCACACCTCTTTGCCGGACCTTATCGACTAGTGAAGGTTGATTGACTAGTCTACCCATTTATTAAGAAAGTGAAAAAAGATAAAATAACAAAATCAGACTGTATAATTTATACTTTCTTTTCTTTCTCGTTCTTTCAAAACTCATTTTTTTATATATATTTATTTTTAATCACAAATTCACATAATAAAATATTTTATACGAAAATCCAAAATTCTTCCATAAGTTTTAACTATATGTTCTTCAAAAATTCACTATTCAGAATAAAGTATTGATCGTAATAAAGTATCCACGCAATAGGATTAGTGCATATTCTGAGAATTTATTTATTTATTTTTAAGTTGATTAAACATACGTTATATTCATGTATTTCATAGAAGTAACAAACAACTAACTACTTACACATTTCGTGTGATCCGTAAGTTATAAACACTTGAAAACATACCAAACATGCTCCAAGAAAGAAATTTTAGCCATATTATCGTGCCTATAAATGTCAAAGTGGGTTAGAATGATGTTCTTTAAAAACATGTCATGTCAAGATTGGTCAAACGGTCTTCGTCGCCCCAATTTAACTTGGGACATACCAAGATTGTCCACTGAGAAATGCGACTGGTCGGGCCACTACAAAACCCTCACACAAAGGTCCATGAGCGAATTGTGCCAATTGAAACTACTATGCATCAATGCTCACTGTTTGTACACCAGATATTTATTTATAACTTGGTACTTAGCATGACATAAACATATGAGTTTACTAATAAGTAAATTTAGTCGTTCGGCATGACTAAAAAAAGTTGATAAAAATTTAAATTTAGTCTCTTCGCAAATTTAAATTTAAAAGAAATCGTATGACAAAATGTTACTGTTACTCTTAGCTAATTGCACTGTTAAAGAAAATGGACGATCTGAATCCAATTTTCCCCAATTTCTAAAGGCTAGCAGAGAAGTTGAAAGCCTAAATTTGTAATCAGCCCACCGTCGTTCTTAATTTGTTGGATGTACAAACAGTCAGTTGATTTCGACAATTTAGGATTTTCTACTTCGGTTGCTTATTTTTTTTTTTTTTTCTATTTTTTTATTTATGTACTTTGAAATAAAATAAATAAATATATGATAAAGGGTTGAAGCCTTTAAAGCACCCCTTTTTTTAACTTTATAATAAATCGAGTCTCTCTGCAAATTTAAATTTAAAAGAAACCGTATGACAAAATATTACTGTTACTCTTACATCCACAAAGTGAAAGAAATATATCTATCAAGTCTGATAACATAAATACGAAATATTAGAAAAATAGTATTGAAATATGATTGAATAGTGAAATTTTAATAGAGTTTTAAAAAGCATAAAGCGTGACTAGGCATGAAGACGAAACTTTAAGTTTTACGATCTTAAGGGAGTCTAGGCGTAAATTTTTTTTTTCTTATTTTCAATATTGTTTCAAATTTTAATCATTATAAAAATCATTTAATAATTAAAATAATACATAACAACATCTAAAATTGTAAAATATTATATTTATTTAATAATTCCTATAATTAATCAATTATACAATTTTCAAGTTTTTAAAATGCAAAAATTATACTACTTTTTACTGTTTCAATTTTCAACTAGACAAGTCATATTTAATAGATTTACAGGAATTTTCTACTTGCCTTTTGGAGTTTTCAACAAAATAATGAGTCTAAAAATCATCATTACATAATGCAGATAACATCGTAATTTAAATCTTATTTCACTCTTTATTGGATAGTCATTTTTTTTCCTTTTGTACATATAAAGTCTTTTCAAAATTAGAAATTAAAGTCAAATAAAAGAACTTTTCAAAAAAAAAAAAATTAAAAAGAACACCTAGAAAATATGAAAGAGTGGAAGGAAAAAAATCCTGCCGTTTAGGAATTGGAAAAAAAAAAAAACACATAAGAGCGAAACGAGACATTTTGCCCAATTTTCAAGACTAGGTGTCGCTTAAACGAACTTTTTAGAACATTGCTTAAACATATCTTTTAATCAAAC